CCTGCTGATGGCACTTACAGCTATGCAATTATCCCTCTCTAGCATTATGAGCAACCATTAAATTGTTTAATTAATTCTGAGTCCTGTTCTGAGTCCTGATGTCTTAGTGTACTGTCAATGGAATGGTCCCGTTTGGTGGCTTTGTCCAACAACCTATGCACTGGATAAAATTGACAGGCCACAGAATGTTGCTGATTATATCATGTTGCTCCACTTTTACTTCATGGCAGGCACTCTGATTAATTCAGTGTTTAAGGAGGCAGATGTCCTAACGATGAGTTTAGTATTCTGTGACTGTCAGCAGCCACTTTTAAAAGTTTATTTTCCTTTGTGTGCTTTGAGGTAAAGTTTGTTGTTAGAGTGTTTGATAGATGAATAAATTCTTTGTTGCGTTTTGAATTTTTAATGGTGAACATTGTTTCTGATCAGCAGTTGTAGAGTTGAGAGACATGTAAGCGTTTCTGTTTTGTTAAATATTGATTGTTTTCAGGTAGGCTGGAATATACATGTAAGCCAGTCAGTGTATAAGCAACCCTTGTTGAGCAGTTGTGTAGTTGTGCAGTTGTGCAGTTGTGCATGTCCATTTACCTCAGTGCCATGCACTCCAGGGAAATCACAGAGTGAGGAATACACCAACAAGATTTGTGCCAGGATGTGTTTGTGGTTGCATTTGATGCCTCAGACAATCAAGTTTTTCCTTAGAGATTGAAGAGAATAGATCACGATGCTCTACCTTTATTATTGCATTGTAGGCATGCATATTGGATGCTGTACGAGTACATTTTTAGATTTGTTCATCTGAGAATTATAGAGGGTGTTTTGGCTCTTAGCCATTGAGATAGCGAGGTTTGGGCTGGCATCAGTGGCTAACATCTGCTTTTAATGGACAAATGCTGTTCTTCATTAATTCAGTATTCATAATCCTGGGTAGCTGGGTTAACTTCTTAATGTCTCTCGAGGAAACTAGCTTATATAGTTGTTTCAGACTCATGAGTGAATTCCACAGTGCATTACTGACCTACATGTACGGTACATGTACAGTACATAGGTTATCTGACAACTGAATGGGGTGCAATATACATGTACATACCGCTATGACCAAAACAAGCTACGATGTGCGCAATGCGCGTGCATGTGCTTCTGTAAATGTATATAGAGTATACGCGCTTCTTTCTCTATCAACTGTTCTGCTAAGTACATGTACATGTACATGTAACTTTCAAAATGATGGAGGTGGGAACCAGGCCATCAGCCCAGCCTATCTGCTGCTATTTGTGCAAAGGGTACAAGCTACATGTACATGTACATGCATGGAGCACATACCGTAGCCCTCAGGAACAGCAAAATCAAACACAATTTAGTTCTTTCGGTCTGCTGGAGGTTGTCACTAAAAGAATTACACTGCATGCTCCCTACTTCCATCTTGCATGAGAAGGGCAGGATTAATGCATGAGTTGAAATCCAGCTGATTTAGTGAACCATGTTGACCTCACAGATGTTGATTCCCGGTGTAGCTTGCAGGGCGCAGAACATTGAATGTATAATACACTTTTCATTAACATTTGTCATTTCAGTTGAAATCTGCATGTGTCTAAGCAACAAACAAAATGCAATTGTGAGGTAGGGCCTTGGGTACAATGTACATGTATCATTCGGTTGCACAGTTGACGTTTTAATGCAATAATTTTTGATTACGTTTTATTCTATTGCAGAAACCACTCTCGGGAAGCTAAAAATTTCCTATCAGACGGCACAAGAGAGTGGTTTAAAACATCTTCAAAGGAAAAGGCTCAAACATTCTAAAGTGGTTCAACATACAAGTGGATAACATAAAGGCACCATTTCCTTTTAAATGTCTCAATCTTCATTGTACACTACACGCTGATTCTGACTGGATTGTGGATTAAACGTTACCGGTACATGAAAATTAGCATTTGTAAAATCATCTGCCCAGTTAATTGAAACCAGGATTGTAAATCCAATAAAAAAATCCAATCATAAAGTTGCAGTTCTTAGTGAAGGGTGACATTTACCAAACAAAAAAAAACAAGCAACAGATTAAAGCAGTATAGTTTGAATGAATGGACAACATTTGCCAAATGTACAAAATCATTGGGCACTGTTTTTTTTCCAGCAAAGTTCATTTAATCAGCTCATTGTATGCTTGGCTGTATACATGTACATTCATCCTTGTTCTCATTTGATCATTTTTTTAAAATTTAGAGAGGCAAATTGCAACAAATTATCTTGCTCAAAGACACAGGAATAATACCTGAAGTCCCTGGGTGGACTTGGAACCACCAGCATTATGTAGACGAAGAGCCTTGCCAATGTAAAGCCTTTTAATTGTTTTGAATTTGGCTGAAGGGCCAATTTTGTCGGACTTGTTTGTGAATCAACAATAAAATGCAGTGGGTCATGAAAATGACCCAAAACTCATAACATGTATTAGCGCTTCTCAACTGATGAACAATGCAATCATTTTTAGCTAAAATACAGATATACATTGTACATGTACGTGTATTCATGAGGAAAATAAATTACGTAAATAGCCGGAAACACACTCCCCAGTGGCAGTGTGCTATCCATTGCCTTGATTCGGTATACATTTGTAAAGAGCTGAACCTTGATCTTTGGAAACAAAAAATCCTCTTTTCCTAGTGCTGTATAGCGGTGTGAGAGGCCTAACGTTAATGCCGCAGTGGTATCTCGTATTCCGCACATCGCAGCGACCTTCCCCCATCGCTTAATATTATTTGTTCTAGTCCTATGCCTTGAAGCCCACGAGGGACACACAAATCACGCACATCTAATTAATTGGCACGGAATTTTATGAGGATATCGGCATGTCAGACATGTACATGTATGATGTGTGTTGTGATTGATAATTTGTGGTTCGGCAGGCATCTCACGTACATTTCCCCAAACCAATGTTTATTGCTGTGTTCAAAGACCTTGTACCGGTATGTACCGTACATGTATGGACCACCAACGCTGTTGTCAGTGCGATATTTCTGTCCACATGCACTGTACCAATACATGTACATGTGTGCCATTCATTTTACCCAGTGCCGAAAATTTGAATTGAGTTTGTACCATATAGTCTGTGGTACATGTATACAGGATATGAGTAGACTATTTCAAACAAACTTACACATTTTCCAGGAATTACATAGATGCAGTTGGGCCTGGCAAGAAATGACGATGCTATCAAACAGCTTACAATTTGTCCATTAAGTCACCACTATAAACCACTATAATCACTGCACTTTTTGTCAGCCCAGTGAGTCTTGTCATTAATGCTCAATTTGAATGTTCAACTCAATGGATGCCACAAAGAAAGGATGGCAGTGTTGATTAAATTAAGGCTAAAAGCTTCCTGATAAACGAGGTGGGGTTCTGAGGGATTGAGAAGTGGTTGAAAAGATTTGCGAATGAACCGGTGTGTAATTGAGTAGATACGTGCAACATGAAATGAATAGTTAAAATGGAAAATTGTACAGATTGACATTTAATGCGTACAGAGATGAGGCTCATATACGGCAGGAGCCTTAGTTATGACCTTATAGTCCTACATGAACTGGTAACTGTACACGTATGGTAAACTTGATTTTGTTGCTGACCGAGCTGCTAAACTTTCCTGACAAAAGCCAGATTCAGATTGGTATCACCGTCAATGAGTGACTTTCCATTGTCATACTTTTGTTCTGTAGTTACAGTTTGGGCAGGTTTGTGATAAGGGGTACTCACACTCCTGCGCTCTGATTTAGCGGATAAGCAGCGGTGCTCGTGAGCGTTGGGTCATTTTGATGGAGGGAGGAGGGCAACTCAAGTCGCTCTGAATATTTCTGCAGAGAGGAGGAATGTACATGTACAGTACAGGTGCATGTAGTTCAAGTAAAGGATCAGCTTGAGTGAACATTTGTTATTTGGAGAGAAATGGAGATTATGGAAAGTGGAATCCATGGCTAGAGAAAAGTTACAGTTGCCAGAAAATAAGTTTGATGGAGCACAGCAGTCTTCCATCCCAATTGAAATTACTCTTTAAAATTAAGCCATTCTCCAAGGCCTCTCGGTTATAGTCTTCCAAGTGAACGGCCAAGTGCCTTGTAAAATACTATCTATAGCCTTTGTGCATGCATGTTGTTTTCCTGTATGAAAGATTGACAGTTTTATATTTTATAGCAAATTCATGTGCATTGCAAATAAAAAAATAGCATTTGGGTTGGCCTGCAAAGCTTTCCCATGCTTGGTTTACAGATTTCTTTCCCTTGCAGCCCCATGGTAATTCTCCTCTTCCTTTGGATTCCTGTTCTTGTAATAAGACACGCACTGCCAGAAATGGATCACTGTGGTGCTTTTTTAATGTTGTGATTTTCCAGAAATGACAGATATCTAGGCTTGCGGTAATTGAAAACCTTGAGTCTGACTGCACTTGACTTGCTAGATTCAATGCATTTTTTAGCACACAGTAGCTGGTGTGCATCATGATGTTGCAAGCAGGTTATCTCTTAATGGACCAGCAACCACATGATGAATCATGGATGCGGATACCACTGTGCCAAGTGCAGACAAGCTAGTACAAACTAGAAAATGATGGAATGACCTTTACCAGAAGATTTTGTATCATTTCTGGCTAGGGCCGAGTCAATTTGAATAATTCACTTTTCGAATATTCGACCTTCAATTTGATCAAATATCCAAATGTTTGGTCGCACCGACTGGCAGATTGTTGACAAACCATATACAAAATCAGTTGCAATAACACACACAATTGTACATTATGATCAATATAATAGCTTCTCACATCTAGGAATATGTCCAGCCACGATTTAGCAAAATTGAAGAGATGAACAAGACTTCTTGCCCTGTTGAAAATTTCTATTCCTTTTAAATTGTTTATGAATAATTTACTTTTTAAATCATAAGATTTATGAAACAAGCTTTCATAGTGCAATTTTTCATATTTGACGCAAAAGAAAATTTTCCTTTCCTTTTCATGAATTTTGCATTCGAATATTCAAATTCTAAAAGTAATATTTGAATATTCAACAATCGATCAAATATTTGGTTATTCGGCAAAGCCCTACCGGTATTTCTGCCATTAGGTTTTGTGTTTCATACAAAGGTGTACCAGAAATTTTGGTGAGACATTAAAAAAATGTAAACTACAGTGCTTGTACATACTGTACATGTATGCATTTGATACTTTTTGTTAAAGAAATCTAGTTATGCAATACTTGCACAGGTACCGATAGATCTAGACTTTATGAAAGCACATGTCCAGACTTCCATTTGTCTGCCGGAGGGGCATTGTGCATACCGGTACATGTATGCATTGGACAAATTGCCCTTGCTTCGGGCCTTACAAATATCAAAATGGCATTACATGTACATGTTCATGCGATCAGAGGAAGCCATAAAGGACTTCTGAAAGTGGCTTTATGTAGATAAAGAAATGTCATGTGCGATGTGTATGATATAGAGCTACCAAAAGGTAAATGTTAAGGTTGTCATAACTGTCTTGAGAAAAAGTAGGAGTATTAGTACATTTATATACAAGTACATGTACCGTACCTGGTATGAAATCAACGGCATTTGTTTTATTTTCAGTTTATGTGAATTACTTCGAGCCCTGTAAGAAATGTCTCCTGATGGTTGGTGTATGCACCGGTACATTAGGACGTTATGAGTAGATGATTTTACTTTGTGCGTAGATGCATGCTGTCTGAACAAGAGATGTCACTTTGCCCAGAACAAACGGTGACAGCTTGACGGATGAGGTGTAAATTGTCACCTGTTGTGTGGAAATGGAAAAGCCTCAATGAGAATGAAATATTTGCAGCTTTGAAGAAGGCAGAAGTTCAACTGATTAAATATTACAGATTTAAAGATGGCATTTCAACTGATTTTTTTATGGCCTTTTGCTTGCGATTGTTATACCTGTATATTTATCAAAATATCAACTCCAGAGGCATTTTTCTGTCAATATACATGTACATGTAGATATATACAGGATCTGCATGTATAGTGTACATGCACATGTACCGTATAGTATCAATTTTTCTTAAATCTGCTAGAAATAAACAAGCTTTATGATTATTTGCACCATACCAGAACGAGTTTTCTTGCAAGAGGCGTTTTCTGTTTCGTCAACCAGCATAAAATTTTAACAGCCCAAGGAATCATTGTTGCATTCATTTCATTTTTCTTCCTTTAGGAAGCTTACTTTGGTACAAAACAAGCCTGCAGAGGAATAAAGGAAGCCTAGCACGTGTGAAAAATTATCTTCAGCCAATGTAAAAAAACTGGAAACAAGCGGTTCCCTGTTAGTTTCAGTTTCATGGGTACCAGTGCTAATATAACACCATTGTCAGTGAAAAAGCTGTACACAGTTGCATGAAAACGTTTCAACTTGCATACACGTACCCATCATGTATACATATACATTTAAACTGTACCCGGCATGTAATCACAAAGATGAACAAAGAAATTGACTGGAGCAGGATTCGAATCTGCCACCTCTGGTCAGTGTGCTTGCTACATATACTGGTATGTACTGCACATGTACGGTACACGCTTTGATGATCACTTTATTTTATGTTGGAATATACCACATGCACATGTATGTATCCCAGCACATGCCTGAAGTTTGTAAGAAGTGAGGTCTGCCTACAAGTGTATACTGTACACGTACTAGGTCTGTACATGTACATTTGTAGTTCATTAAATGTTTGCACCCAGGTTTATTTTACTTCATAGCAGCCTCAGGGCATCATCATTTGAATCACAAAGTCTCAACTTGACGTTGACCCGTGAGCATATGGGTGCATAATGACTGCATAAAATAGGGCACGTGGAGCCACGGAGTCTATCAGTATAAGCCCTAGTGCGAATAATTTCAATATTACCTGGACAGATGGTCTCACAGGAATCATCTGAGCTGATCCAAAATCCCAAAAGAGAGAGGGAAAAATCTCCATATTTTTTCCCTCTGTTGATAACAGACTGCATGCTGGTTGATGGTGACTTATTGGTGTAAGGGAAAGGAGAAAAGAGGAAATGGTAATGGATGCTTGATGCAAAGATAATCTTCTTGGATTGAGCAGTGACTTGAAAAGCTTTATTTAGCACTTTAAAAACTGCCCTTCATGATGAAATAACCTCATTGAGGTCAAAATTGATACCCCTGTACATGTACAGTGTAGTTTGTATTGTCGTAAGGAGAAAGGCTTGCTCCTGTTCATATTTGACAGTAAATAGACATCTACTTCAGACTGAATTTACACATTACGTACATGTACACATGATGTATGCTCATGCACTGGTGTACTGATACACGTGCCGGTACACTTAATGAGACTCCAAACCACAACTTTAAAAATCTTGAGAGGAAAAAAAAATGAGGGTGAAGTTTCCCAGGATTGACTCTTTGTGGATTTGAGGCAAAATCGCTGTGATAATTGAGAATGCTCTGAAGGGCATGCACATGAAGTATGAATGTGGGAACCAGCCATTGAACTGTACATTGTAGTTTTGCTCAACTCTTCATGGAAATTTACAGGTAGCTGTTTGTAAAACCTCTTGAGGCTTTTGAATTCAGTGGAAGTTTTTCCCGTTCCAGATTGAGTTAAGATATCCTGATACCGTACCTTGTTAAGAAATCTTAGCTCAGATTGACAGTCGGGGTTTTTACTAAGAAATACATGTGCAAATGTGAGAAGGGATCCAGTCATTTCAAATAGAAAAGGATTCTTTCATATACTTGAAAATCAAGGCTCCAGTTTGAGGTTTCTTGGTACACCACATCTTAACACAGGTTCGAGGAGGCAATATAAAAAATAAAAATATTTTTGCAGAATTGAGCCACAAAAGTCGGTGAAGTACATCTCATGATAAGAGCCCTTCGCTTGTACATTACATGTATCTGGTTTCCATTTGAGAAACAAGTGGTACATTTTTTCCATTTGTTCAGGTACTGAAAATTGTTCCTGCATTGTAAGTCAGACGAGAGGGCTTTCCTTGGGTCAAAACAGTCACCCAGTTTACATACATGTACATGTGCAGTTTGAAGTTCATTGAAAATAGAATACACTCTTGATTTTGTGGCTTTTGAAGACAAGAAATATTACAGTTTGAATCTGTTCCACCTTAGGCTTTTCCACAATATACACCTATACCGTACATGTACAGTACATTAGCTGTAATCTGTCCATAATGTCAAGTGACTCAAAACATTGCGAACACACCGCATCTTGTGTACATGTACCATTGTGGTGTATGATTTCACTTACATAAACTGCATGATAAGTACAAAAATACAGGTTGTATTTGAACCGTCAGTCATACCGGCATGTGTGAACCTGCTGATTAATTGGAGCTATACATGTATCTGAGTAAATTTTACAGGTCTAAGGTACTTGACAACCATTGATTCTTCCTGTGATCGTGTGGTGGTGACTGCGTTATTGGTAGGGACAGCTTAAGCGGCCATTAGCCCAATTATAGTTATATGATGTCATTTGGATTCTTTTAAAATGCAAATCAAAAGGCTACTAGATTTCTGGCAAGGCCATTTGTATCTAGTTCATTTGTGGCCGTCAAATTTTGTTGAATTAGACATTACATGGAAATACTAGTATTACTCTCTGGTATTCGATTAGTATTTAGATTTTGGTCCAAATGGATATGGCAAATGTCAAAGAAGAATAATGAATCTAACAGGTAAAACTCTCTTTACTTGTATTCTGGTTTAAAGGTACATGTACATGTAATTTTTTTTTATACATGTACATGTACGCATGCGCTGGTAGGAACAGCAACATACAGAACCCAAAAAACGTAGAATAAAATAAATAACATCCCTAAAGTTTAGTGATTTTATCCTTCCTAAATGTGGCCCCAGGAAATTTTTGTGTAATTGTTGTGTCCTGAGAAATAAACTTTCCCACCGAGACCAACAGTAGATGCCGTGTTTATCATCTTCCAAACTCTGTGTGAATGTCCTGCGAATTAGGAAGCAGAGTGCGGCCCCAGATTAAATTAACTCAGCGTTTACATGTATTTATCTCTTCCCATAGAGGGACAAAAATATCGCCAGTCGCTTGGAGGGTTTTTGCACGGCTCGCGAAGGAGGAAGTCTAACAGGGGAAAATCGTCAGCGGGTGATAAATAACCTCCTTTGCATCCTCCTGCCTTGACATTAATAATCTTGCCATCTTTAAGGTCAGTCCTCATCAGTAGTCCAGTGGATGGTAATTCCCCATCACCCTGAGTTGCAATTATTTCTCAGTTGAATGCTCCTCATCGCGGCACTGTGTTCCCCCGTCTCGCTTGGGCCTGATACATCCTGTGTTTGCCTACCAGTTCAGATGTAATAATTCCATGTGTTTGATTTTAAAGATTGCGTGCAAAAGTATTCATTGAAAATGATTAACATTATTGGAATAATTTTGAAACAACTGGTACATGTATGAAAATAACATACATGTTCTGTCTGCAGTGTACACTACATGTACCGTAGTGTGCATATTAATAACTCCCCTGGCATTTAATTAGAAATGAAGCAGCGTAACCTGGTGATAAAAGTAATATTTGTTTAACTGATGGGACTGAAACCTTTGTCTGCTAAACCTATAACACTTCTGCATTTGAACACATACCGTAGTCCACAGCAGGCTTTCAAGAATTCCTAATTTCCCAGCTTCTAATTTTCATACGTTTTTTGAATTTCCTACTTCAGAATCAGTAGGAGAGGTGTTATTTGAACAGATATTGCCTGCCTTATCTTGTAAAATAAAACTAACTTCCCGAGGTGATCCATAGAGCATTCTGTTCTATTCTGATATCCTGATATTAGGGTTGCATACTTTTGTGTATCACACAACGAAGGGCATGGTGAAAAGAATGGAGAGTTGTCAGTGGAAATCCCAGGCAAGGCCAAGGGTCGGTTGGAGGGAGGAGAACCAAAACAAAGAGGCAACAAAATTTTGACGAAAGGCAGTTTTTTTTTTAAAATTTCATTTCCCTCCAATTCAAAAACACATAAAAAAACAAAAAGGGTAACCTCACCCCTCAGAAAGGCCATATCAGGTTACATGTCTGCATGTATGTACGTGAGTAAAGTTTGAAGGGACGTTTTAGCCCCCCCCAAAAAATTTGGATCTGGATCCACCCGTGATTCCAGGTGGTATACATAGATGTGATGTGTACCATGCTCAACATCCAAAGGGAATTCTGGCACTAGTCAGCGGATAGATTAAGACTACAGATGTATATATATGTACTAGAACATGCCAACTGAGGCTCATGACGAAATCTACATAAAAAAGGATAGCTACCACTACTCCTGAGACCTGCAAAAGTCTAAGTACACATATATGTACAATTTTTGTCATCCAAATCCTACTTTTTTCGATATGCTTTCCTGAAGCCTCTTCAGTGACCTCTGAAGAGCTGCCGGTAAGAGTGATGTTTGTTTACATATTAAAGTGTTCACAGTATGTACATGTAAATTGCATGCAGTGACTGTGCAGGTCATGATTAATTCAGCTGGCGTGTCTGAAATTCATCTGGTGAGCTATTGATTAATACCTGAAATAATTGCCATGCAGATTTAGCTTCAACCACTCAGCGTTACTGGTGCATGCATGCACCTTGCGTAGGGGTAAGATGTAGCGGACACTCTTGCCCACTTGACCACACTGCGATCTCTGTGAGGCTGGCCCGCTTCGGCGAAGTTGAATGTTCCACATTAACGACAAATGATTACCGCTTGACGAACGGCATTGCAGTATTTATAGCACTGCACGGTGGGTGAGAGGAATATCGTGCCTTGACGTGGGCCCTCCGAGGATGTTATTGCAAAGGAAAGAAGCTGGGGGATTCCGTTGGGTGTTAGGCTGTTTGTAAGGTATCTCCAATACTGTACAATATAATCATTTCATACATTGCAAGTGTGCCAATGTGTAAGTCAGTAGTACGTGAATAATTTGTTAATGCCTTCTTCCACGAGAGAGGAGGCATTTCTCTGTCATGTGTTCGAGGCACATGCACCTTTCATAATGTCTATGTGTATATTATTTAGGTCAAAGACTTTAGGGAGTGTGTAAGTCAAGTGCTTTCTAGAGAAAATGCAGAATGTAAAGATTAGAGAGATTTGAGTGTTAAAACCCTAACCGCCTAGGGTGTGGGTAAAATCATATTGAAATCAGAGGATTTGTGGGACTATTAGGGATAGGCCAAGGTCCAGAGAGTTAGAAGGGAAGGTCTACACTGTAGACAGGATGAAAAATATTCTCGATAACCCCCTTTTATCGATTCATGGTAAAAGGTTTTATTCTCAGCGAAGGGGCATTTGATGGGGGGCCTGGTGTTTCCCATTCCTGGTTGGACCCGGTGTTGCCCTTTATTAAAACTAGAACAATTGACAATTCAGCCTGTATGCCCTATCTCTGGTATCCGGAATAAAACACTCCTCTCTGGCTGTGGCATAAAACACAAGAGAATAATGCTTTAACCCTAACCCCCAAGGATGTACATGTACATAAAATTGTATTGAAATTGGAGGATTTGGGACTGTTAGGGTTAATGAATCCAAAACTGCTTTTCAAGAAGCATGCAGATTGATGCAAATGTGGTTTTTTGATCACATTCAAGTTCATACATGTGGTTTTCTTACGTGTAAATGTACATCGCAGTATTTTTGTCGTAGATGTCATTTTATTGAAAAAAGGGAAGAAGTACAGTGTACTGCCTGTACCAATGCTATTTACATGTAAATGAAAGTGAACTGCACAGAAGTGATGCACGGATCGACTGACATGCATGTACCCCTAGCTGACCACATGTTAGTTTAGCACTGGGACATGTTTAACACATGAGGAATAAATTTACGTCAAGGATTGAACTCTCGCCAGTTTTCAACAGGAATAAATTATGCTACAGGTAAGCACGCTATGGCTTTGGTAAGGTTAGACACATTCACAGTACGTACGCTTGACATTAGTCATAACAATTAATGTCCTGGATGTCTGAAAATTTTAATTACTGGGCCTACCAATCTGTACAGTGTACAAAGAGTTAGTAGCAGAACAATAATTAGTCCTTTTTGTTTTTACTGAAATTAACCCTGAAGAAATCCAACAGTGCCTGACACTATAGTGAGTTTGGTATGGTATGGCACATGCTCCTAGTGTCTAACAGTAGCCCAAAATTAGACATGTATAGTGTGTGTGACATGTACATGTATTTCGGAATCTTCCATGTTTGGGCGGGGGGAGGGAGGACGAGTGGGCTAGGGCCCCCCCCCCGGCAGAAGCTGCCCTCTATCAGTACAAAGCATAACCATAAGAAACATCTCAAAACATCATCTGAATGTGCCACTAACATCAGATTCTGAATGATGTGAGCGATCACATTCGTGTTGGTCTGGGCCAACGTTCAATTTAAAAAAAGTTTGCCATACTATGATTTATTTTCCCCATAAACTCAGGGTTCCACGTGCTATATATTTTATTCTTGTGATGTGCCCCCCCTTAGCTGATACCGTGGCTCCCCATAATGCCTGCAGTGGCGACAGGGCTGCCCATGTTGAATTTCACCAGTACATGTACATGCACATTGTACTGTACATGTGTGTGAGGAGATATAAACTGGGAAAACAACATCAGCCTTAGTTTTGTGTATAAATCACTAAAACCGTGACCTGATATGCTTTATTCCAATGCAAATTACCCTTACAAATTTTTGGATACTCGTATATTTTGGGATATTCATCCCTCGTAGAAATATAAATTCTTGTGAGTGGACATGACTTTGATTATACCGGAACCAGCTCTGCAGCATGCTTGTAGCCTTGTACACTGTACATGTACTTGGATACTGTAGCTGAACGTTTTCCAGGGCCCATTTATAATCTTTGCCTACATGTAGATCAATTCTGGACTGGAATCGGATTAAAAAAGAAGACAGGCCGATTCATCTCTTGATGAAAGAATACCTTAAGAAATAAGCCACTGAATAAACCGCCATGTATGTGAATGTATAATGCATATGTACATGTACGTATTCCATTAGTCATACCGGTACGAGTACAAGTTTTGATGCTTGAGAATGCACATACAATATGTAATGCTCTGTGTTTGAAATTCTCCTCTTCGTCAAAACCGGTCAAATTTCCCATATGTGTCTGTGTACTGGGGGAAATCAAGTGGAAGGAATTTTTGACTGTTTTTGATGGTTACAGCAAAAGGAGGGTTAAAGGCTGGTTCAGTATATTGTATTTGGCATGAAAGCACACATGAATAGCGGTTTGTATTTAAGGCAAAGGTGAGTGTGAAAGTACTTTGCAGCAGTATTTGCTCAAATTGAAGTGTTCGTCTTTTGGAATTTTCAGTAAGAATATTTTGATCCAACATCACAATTTCATGTTCGGCTTTCATGTTGTTTGGCTCTGTTGCCGAGTACGAAAGCAACATTTAAGCCCCTCACGTAGGAACTTTGTGTATCATCCAAAATCTTTCCAATAGGAGGAAACCATTGACACTTTCTTTTTGTCAAAAATTGGTTCGTTTGATCTCATCTCTCAATTGATAATACCTGGTCTATCAGCAGTCCTGAATCAATAAATAAAAAACAGTTAAAGTAAAGAAAATACACTGTAGAATATATCTTTGTTAACATTAGGGTCCTGCATACATGTATAATACATGTACACAGTAATGTACATGTAGGCCCACTAATGAATGCTTCCAATGTGGGCCAACATGTACATCACTGATTTATGGATGCATTACAGTACATGTACTGTATGTACTCATTCAAAATGCCAGGAGAACAAAATACATAAAACTTGCTTTGAGTATTTTGGAGATTAAATTAGGTTTAACTTTTGTGTGTTTATGAGCCGGTATGGTCCGAAACTCTGTAAGCCTGTGAATGCTTTGAAATAGATTTCGATAGATTTCAAGTGAATCACTGCAAAATGGAACCAGTTTTACTGAAGTACCGGCAAGATGCACTAATTAAAAAATAGTCTTTATGAAAGTGAATCTCATACAAGTGCAAGCCTTTATATTCAAATGACAAGAAACTGCAGACATTTGTAAAATGTTATATCGAATAGTAGAACTTCATCTATCCAACCATACTGGTACATCAAAGACCTTCTTAGTGCAAGCCTGCATTAAAGTTACTGTGAACAGTTAAACTGTGAACAATTCATACAGTTGGAGGTTATGGACCATGGGCCTTGGGGTTTTGCTGTGCCTGCAGTCAACAGTCTGTTATGGTGACCACTCAAGTGTACAATGCACAGGTGTTAGCAACTGGTGACAGGCAGGAGAGCATTTAGCACCTCATCATCCCCTATTACCCCATATCATTACACTGGCTAATTGTTGTGTAACAGCTGCTGGGTACTGTAAACAAGATCCAGTGTTGTGGTCTAGACCTCTGAAGACCTGGGTCACAAGATCATGACCAGTACAAGACCTCCCGTCTGAAATCCAGTCACAGGCTAACTAAATAGACTTCAGCAAAAGAATTGTCATTGTTGACCCTGTTACTTGTGTCCAGTCTTGTGACCAAGGCGTCATGGCTTGTAGAAATCAGATGAGATTCATAAAGTGTCTTCCAAAAAGAAAAGGTTTGTGTTAATGGATAGCTGTCAGGGTTCCGTCAAAAAGGAATCAACCATAAATACATGTACATGTAGGTACGGTACACTTGCATCTTTTGATCATGCTTTGGTTCAACAAGATTATGAACCTGAATTTTATATGTGACTTTTGCGCTCACCATGCATTCGTTTACTACAGGAAATAAAATAGGAATGGTCAACAAACCTTGAATTTATGGGAAATACACGTACTTAATTTATACATCAGATGATTATTGCGATATAAGACATATTCACTGTGACGGATGTTCTTGTTGCCACATTAACAATGTACTTGGAAATGGTAATGTACATATATACTGTGTATTGAAACCACTTTTGTAGATGTGACACAGTGCAAGAAATGAGATTTTTTGATGGAGGGGGCTGTACACGTACATGTATGTACACGTCATCGTAATGCTTTCTCGTCCAACGATCACAATCATTGACATGTCCACTAGAATCAATCTTTATCTGTGGTTCTTATTTTTGGATGGCCAGTTCCATTACATCTCCTGGTTTGGTGCACATTAGCAACTACATATAAAAACTTGAGGACAGACATGTTGGGCTCTAAATGGTGCATTGTAGAGCATTGACCTCAACATCAGACTAGGCTACAAATATCGGTTATGTGGACTGCACATTACCGGTCCCTCAATGTCTGTGTGCATGAAAATATGAAGAAAATTGATAGAGTATTCTTGATAATGGTGTCTTGAGCCCATCTGGCAACCTCTCTGCAGCACAAACTAGTCTTTACCGCAAGTCATTTCTGTTAACTTAGCACCAAGAATATCTTGTATTTTAATAATTAGGGCACTTCAACCGAAGAAACCTGTTGGTAGAAGACAGAGGTGTACTGGTACATGCTATACACAAATGTGCCATATTAAGATGAGTGGAAATTGAGAAGAAAATCACAGAACCAGGTAAGAACTGGCAAGCAGATAAACATAATGCTGCTTAGGGCTAAAAACATCGTCAAGATGGAAAATGAAACAAGCACTGCCAAGGAGATGGTAAATTCAGAGAGGGCATACCCAGTTTATTTTTGGGGGGGGGGAGGGAGAGAGGGAAGAGGCAGAGATGCATTTTCTCTCTTTCTTTTGCTCTCATACTTGCTATTTCGTGGCTCTAAAGGAACCAGGAAATAGAAATATTTTTTTAAATTTTACTAAAAACCCTTGAAATTGCATCTTTGGGTTTCAATGAACCTCATTTTAAATGTTTGTTTTGCAATTTTAACCCTTATTTTGATGTTTTTTTGTTTTTATGCTAATGCACATTTGCATATTCATGAGCAGAACTACATGCCATCCAAGGCACTTGAATTTCAATGTTGCACTGATTTGTGCACAGAACCACTGCTATGGCAGATTGTATTTCCTTTTCCATAGAAATGTTCCCAGATAGCAAATTTGGGATTCACAATTTGAACATAAAAACATGCAACCTGAACCAAGTCTTCCTGGATTTACATCAAAGCAAAAGCTCCCACACCTGTCCAGAAATGCTTGGTCAATTTTTAATGTTTGAAAAAGTGCGCCGTTTGGTTCACAAACTCAAAAAAGATGTCAAACAGTCTCCATACATGGAAGAAGAGTACAGAGATACACAAAAAGTGATTCGAAGAAAAATTCATTTCCTGGATCCTTTAATTAACCCAACAAGGCTACCGGTAAATCCTCCCATGATTTTTACTCACACCCTCTAAGTACTGGTACATCTTGAAACAGAATTAGGGTGAACTTAAAAGACAGAACTTTGTGATACTCCCTGATAAAAAATGGTTGGGTTCAACCCCAATTTCAGTTTCCCCTTTTTGTAAATGCCCGGTCCTCCGCCCAGTTTTGTAAATGCTAATTCACCGTACCACTGCAAGGTACGTGTACATGTACCATATGGTATAGTACAAAACAAGGGCATACTTTTATGGCTTTAATTGGAAACAGTTATTTATTTCTTATGTGGAGATCATCAAGTTTCCAGGCAATTTTTAGATACAAAACTTTTTGTACAATCTTTATCAGCAACTGGTCAACGAAACATTGTTGCTCTCTGTTCCAAAAAATTTCCTCAGAATTGGCAAAGAAAGTTGCAGTTAATACAGGGCTCTAATACCAGTGTGTCCCTGATGAACATTTTATGTATTTTAAATGTCAAAATTACTTTAAAAATCTATTGCTCATAATGCGTTGGTACATGTAGCAGTGTACGTATGTCTGGTAGGCATTACTCACACGTCAGCTCCACAGCAACCAAATATTGATAGAATTTTACATGTTTAAAGGTAACAAAACAGTTTGGCTTGTGTACATGTAGGCCTCGTTTAGCATGGTATAAAAAGTACAAGGAACTGGTCAGAGCAGTTTGCCAGGGTAATTTTAGCTCCCTGTCCTGACGTTGTATTGATTTTAATCTCGCATCCTCTGGAGCAATGAACATTGTGACCATTCATGTGGAAAATTGGACAAAGAAAGGCTATTGTGCAAGTTATAATAAGCAAAATTAATATTTGCATCAAAGCCCTGGCACTAAGTATGCACGGGTATACAGGTGTGGCTGTGCATGGTGTGCAGTGTGTGTTCGTGCAATAAAAGAACGCAATGAATTTTAGAAATATGAGCAACGAATGCCAGAAAGAGGCATTGTGAATTTGTGTTTCCCATTAGTAGGCCTACCGGGTATTCTTTAGAGAATCAGGCATACAGGTGTACAATGTACATGTACATGTCTGGATACATGTATGGTGTATGTACTGCATGTACATGTACATGTGATACATAAATGATCAACAGATCAGGTTTTACCAGGTACTCTGTACATTTGCAAGAAAAATCATACATAGGTTTGGTTTTTGTGGTTTTTGCTATGAAAAATAAATTAAGGCCTAAATTAATTGAGTTTTATGTCACAGAAAATAGTAATGTTGAAGTATTGCATTTGTTCGAATGAAAATAAATACTGAATGAGGTCTTTTCACCTGTACACGTAAACACTGGTACATTGTACAGTGTATGTACATGTACACTATAAACTGGGCATTTGGTGTGCATTTTAATGACCAACATCAAATGGAGGCATGACAGAATTGGATGATTAAAAACGTACTTGCATTTGAAAAAACAAATTCATGCATGTTTGTTTTTGAAAAAAAAAGTTCAGGTGCTTTTGTAGGCTGTGTATGACGTACTGGCTACTTGATATGACGGTCCGAGCAAATGGAACAGATAGACCTACAGTGTATGTTAATGGTATCTGAAGCTACATGTGTAAATATAATTACCATTGATATTTATTGATTCTAGTCCAGCAGAATACAGTGTGCTATTTGTAAACCTTTGTTATGTAAAGTTTTTTTAATGAGCTGCTTGTATCCAACACTTACATGTACATGTACTGAGATGCACATGTCCATCTGCATCAAGCATTGAAATTACCAGCATCAATGGAGACTTACCAGTACATATATGTTGCTAACCATTGTTTTCTTAGAATATGTCCTAACGGTAGCTCTTCCAAAAACACGGCAGCATGTGTGTTACACATGTACATTTACCTAAAATACCGGTACATACATGTACACAATACTAGTACGAGTAGGTTTCACATTCAAACAAAAATGTGTACACATACCGTACATGTACATGTAAGGTGTTGAAGTTTCCATTGTTTCACATTTTATATGCCATGTTACTGGACCAAAGATGAAGTCTAAAATGAGCGCCTCTTAAAAGTCCTTTCAAAGCCTTATATGTATGTGTGTGCCGCTAATCCTGCATTGAAACTTAGACAATAGGTACATGTACTGTTGTGTTCAGTAGTTATATCCCCTTTCAGTCAAACAATACATGATTAAGTAATCTAAGTAATCAGAATTTTTAAAAGAGTGATAATCAACAATTTACAATGCATTGCACACCGACGCGTAGGTTTACATCTGTGTCGAGTATGCAAGCACAGCGGACACTGAGCGAGTTGAAACCAAACGGTAATTTTTTCTTTTCGTATTTTATTGATTTTCATCTCTGAGTTAATTTCCAAAAGACATTTGAATATTAAATAATCAAATATCTGAAAAGGTTATCTTGTGAAGTTTGTTGGCTGAAGCACGTTGTTGTCAGAAATTTTCAAACTTTCTTTTTTTTTTGTAATTAGATTTTTGTTTCTTCTGATCGCTCTTCAAAGTTCCAATCAGAACCTTTACAATGCAGGAGCAACATGAGTGAAAGATTAACGCCGTATTAGGGTAGTCAAAATGCATGTATGTATGTAATTGAACATTGTTGAAAAACAACTGAAACATTGACGGGAAACTGAAATGGACGGTGCATGTGCTTGCAATTTTCTCCCATAACCACCGGCAAGTGTTGATGGAAATCCATGATTCTGACATTTCGCAGCAGGCAATTAAGTTCACCTGTGGGTGCACAAGCCATTGAAAATGCCCCAGATTTGCAGGAATTATCCCCTGTCACCTGCTGCTCATCTCAACCATTGCTCTCATCAGCTGGCATTTCTCTCTTGCCCCTTGACCGGTGCCGTTGTTCAGTGCCATTCAGAGAATTCCATTTTCTTCATGTTATCATAATTAATCAACCAAACTTTAATGTCATCTGCAGAAGAAGACACAATAGAGAGGTCGGGGCAACTATCCCTCCCCAAAAAACCAAAGCCCCGGCCTTTGAACAAACATTATCCTGGATGTGCAACTACCTTTTGGTTTTTGTCAACACACGCACTCTCAATTTAATTTCTAGTCAGAGGGGTTAGGTTACTTGCGAATCGGAGGACTAAATGAGTGAGATCGTGCTAGCAGCGGTCCATAGCTCTGGTGCATTTAGTCGGTAGAATCCAAGGGAAATCTGAGAGCTATTAGCCCAGGTAGATACACCTGGGGTAGTGGTAGGCAGCTACAACATACAGGATCGGCACTGAATCAATTTTCTCGTCTCTTAAGGGCTGTTTATGTACGGCGCAGCTATGTAATCGATACTAAGGTGCTTCTTGCTGGAATTTGTGGCATTGGATTTGTGATGAATTGTGGCTGGCATAGAACAGTTCTACATGTAGTGAAGCTTTGAACTGATATCCATTAAACAGTGGGTACTCTGAAATTTGAATAATTAGAAAGGTTTTTATATTGTCCTGATTTTTGGAGCTGTACTGTCAAACACCTTTTGGGTACATGTATTTCTAATAATTTTAGCAGTGTGTTTGGTTTACCAATAGTCTCCCAGGACCAGTGATACATGTACATGTATTTCTGTGTAAATGGAAAATATACAAATGAATATAAAATTCCATCTTGTAATACATGTAGAACCTACTGGGGCAGCCTTTTAAACAGATTTTCACAGTTGTAAAATCGTTTTTCTTTTTAGCCTGTCAGAGAGTAAGGTTTAGTAAAGCAAATTGTCAAAAGAGGTTTCCTGGACCAAAGAAGTGGAAAACAGCTGTTGGAAAGCAGAGTTGCCAAAATTATTAGTACATGCATTTAGGTTCTGCGATGTACATGTACACACAATTTTGTTTAAAAATCCCAGGATTAATATTATTTCTTACCTAAATGTATGCTCTGGATGGAAAACATCTCAAAAGTGAAAAATGACATTTCTGGCACGACCCCTGGCATTCACTCTCTGCATGGTGTTCTTAGATTTAAATGAGATTTTCCATTTGTCTCTATCAGGATTGAAAAAAAACCCTGACTTCTAGGGGACTCTGCCCCATGGGGTTTGTCACAATTTAAGAAGTTCTCACCTTGCACAGCACAGCCGACAGTCTCACTAATGTTCATTGCCTGCAGTCTTTACAGTGCAGTGCATCTGAAAGCGGTGACAAATGCAGATCGTGTAGTGAAAAATTGTTTGACGGAATAAAACTGGACAGGGTTCAGTTATTAAGCTATCAACAGCACACATGTACTGCTACAGTATACATACGTGTAAATATCAGAACTCGGACCTTTTATGACGTAGTGCGCAACCATAAAATGTTTGCTTTGGGGACTGGCTGTTTGTTGAGTTTGACATCAGTTTGCCTGGATTGACTGCATGTTTACCTTCTTCTAATTGTGCTTGTGTTTAAATTCTAGGCATGGAAGTCATGAAATTGACTTCCCTGGAAGTTATCAGTTAGCATGCATTATTGTGATATTGTAGGGCAACCCAGACTGTAGGTAAAGTGCCAAAGACTAAAATGACTGTGATGTTCTAAGTGCATTAAATGTTGAAGAAGTGTGAAAGCACATAATGTGCCTAAATTATGACCAGTAAGAACTTTTTATATGTTTGAAGTACTTATAACGTAAGTATAGACCAAGATGAACTTAAATACAGTTGAAACATTCTTTGATTGTGCATAGCATGCACTTGTAATAAACAATGTTTCAGATATATTTTACAAAAGTTAATGGTGTTGCATTTCCAAATTGTCAATGATGGTAATCCCAATACCTAAAATGTATAAAAACAAATTTTGGTATCCCTGTATTGGTGCTACCGGCATTAGCTAAAATCAAGTAAAATCATATAATCTTGTAATTTGTGCGGTAGCCTATGGTGTCACTCAGTACAACATTTGGATAAAAATCATAAAACAATTATTCTTTATTAAACAGTTTTCATGGAAGGTTCTGGTTAAATGAATTGCCATACACACAGGTAGAAATTCCGCCCAACCTGTTTAATGGGTATGTTGTCTTTTTTTCCTCTCTATCCCCTCCCTTAGTTCCAGGATCGATCACCTGCCAGGTTAACCTGATACACGTACACGATTACAGAGTCTACTAGCTATTGCCTCCACTGCCTCTGCATATCAGCAGAGCTCTTTACAAATATTCAGCCCGCCGTACATGTACATCTGCCGTTTGCACATTGCCGCACACAGCCTCAACGTTGCAGACTGAATTACTTCTTCCTCTTCTGTGTGGCTGAGAGGGACGGGAAAACCGTGCGTTCATCGATGCTGAAGCCAGAGAGATGAAGACAAGCCTGATGAGATGAGCCGCTCTGCTCTGCCGTGATTTGGAAATACGTGGAAGTCAGTGCAGGCTCAGTCTGTCGTGGGCACCGTCGCATCACCAGGGGAATTCATTCCACTTGGGAAACCGACGGACAATCAACGTTGTCCGGCAAATTCTGCTCACAGCACGTATTGGCAATGGGTACATGTACCGGTACATGCACATGTGCCTGTATATAACGAAGATGGTTCTATGAGCTTGCCAGCTGGATATTGTTTTGTACGTACAGGTACATAGAAGAAGTTGAAGCTGAAAGCAGTTTCTCACAGTGCGAATCCAACAAGGAGAAATCAGTTGTTTCTTTTTTGGAGGAGGAAATAATGGTGAAGAGGTGACTGTGCTGTTGTGATAAGAGAATGAGATGTACATGTACACCAGGTGTGAGTTTCTCAGTGTGCCTGCTGTCTCTGCAAACATGGCTACAGCCCAGGGGGTCAAGCGGTCCCTGCTAGCCTAGTGGGACAGCGTGCTGTGATGTGTAGAGTCAACTTGGTGAACTAGATCGAGGACTGACTTGAGGAATTGGTGGCTCTTAACAAAGTGCACTAGCTGGTCTCCTGCACTTCCGCTGGTAAAATTTCTGGGTTTTTTTGGAAGGGGAGTGGAGCAGTTTGGCATAGAAAATGGGCCATTACTTTATCTACGGCAGATTGCTGCTGTCATGTTTGTGTTTGGTTGCGTATACTGGACTCACTGGTGCCCTGTACTATGAAGGTACAGTGGATACATATACACAATATGAGCGATGGAATACCTCTGTTAATGGAACTCTCCGATTCCAATTCAAGTCCAGACAGTCAAATGTTTTGTTGGCATATGCCGATGACATGAAGCGAGTGGATTTCATGGAAATAGCAATGGAGGATGGTAATCTCCTTTTGCACATGAGAATCAACAACAAGGCAAGGACCCTCATTGTTGGGGATAACCTGGACGATGGAGAGTGGCATACCGTAGAAGTGATAAGAAACAACCCCAGAAAATTTACTTTCAAAGTGGACGGTGACGAAAGATCAGGATCAATGGATGGAGAGATCATTGAACTGCCAACACAAACAGATTTCTTCTTTGGTGGGATCCCACGTCAGGTGCGGCGGTCACACTTAGCCAAGCCGGAGGCCCGGGCGCGGACGCACTTGAAGGGCCACATACGCAACATCGCGTACCTGGTGCAGGCCCGCCCCAATCGCTGGCGCCGTCCTGAGCAGCTTGCCTCTAACAATGTCCAGGAGGACTTCTCGGATCTGTGCAGCACCAACGACCCCTGCAAGAATGGCGGGCTGTGCGTGAGCGAGGACACCCAGTCGCGCTGCGAATGCGATGGCACAGGTTTCGTGGGCGAAATCTGCGAGGAAGGTGAGTTCGTGCAGTCAGGCCGCCATACATGTAAGTCACATTTTAGCCTTGCATGGCTTGGAACTGCATGACATGCTGATTTGCTTTCAAATCAGAAAAAAGCCCAAGATATCCATCCTGAAGAATGTTTCCTTTGACAAATTACAACTGGGGAAATCTTGCATTGGAATACTGAAATTTCTGCACCAAATGTCTTTGCATGTGGTAAATGATTTACGGTTCATTTGAAGCTGAAGGCTTGTTTAGTGTTATGTACACAAAACCCTAAGGAATGCGCAGCTGCCTGCGATGCTCCCTGCAACATTCTAATTGAATGCATCCTACAGCAAGCACCGTGTATTGACAAACTGCCTGAAGCATGTCTGTCAATTATTTTTCCAAACCATTGGAATGCTTTGTGGTTTGTCTATACATCTACATGTAGTTTTCTTATATTGCGTGAAGTTTTTGTTTCTTTTCCAAAACCCCAGTAGTGTCTTGTTTTTGTTTGCTTATTTGATTTTTGGAATGGAGAGGGACGGAAGTGAAAATTCTGTTGTGATTGTTTAAAGGAAGTCGGGTACAAAAGGTATGACTGTGCGCATGAATTTGTGATCGAGGTGTGCAAGAGTGCTTTTTTGACATGAGATTCATTTGAGTTTTTGGAAGCCAGATACGGAAGTGAGATACAGATATGAAGGATTTCTGTTGATTGTTTGGAGGAAGTTATATATACCGTTATGTACCGTACGTGTACCGGACTACTGGTACTAGTAAAAGATTAATTGATGGAAAAGTATGAATTGGTTAACATATGGGTATTTGGTTATGGTTATATGGTTTTATGGGCATTTCAGCACTCAAGCACCATTGCAGCTATTAGCTGCATACATGTAGTTCTCTCATTTTGTGCACATTCTGCTGGAAAAAAGTGATGAATCTAGTGATATATATGGCACCATCTACTACCGGTATTTATCTATAAGTCAATTGGTATGTTCTACATACATGTCTTAATTCCAGTTTCCTTCTTTCTGTGTAGGGCAGTTGCAGAGGTGTGCCAACCTTGCCATCTACATAATGTGTAGACCTGCAAACCAAACAGGTCTACATGTATAATGCAAGTTGTGTTAACCTTGTGTGGACTAAACCAGGTCCACACAAGGTTTTCCTTCTCTGAAAAAATAGGTTTCAGAGGCATTTTGTGGTAAGGTTTATCTGCAGCAAAAGGAAGAGGAACGCTTAAGGAAATCGGCAACTGTGCTCACAGTTCTAAGAACATTGAGAAGTTTTACAAAGCGTTCTTTACACGAGAAGGATGGAATGATGTCCACACAAGGTACAATATGTAACATAAACTTGTGTAAAGTATGGTCACCATTTGAACATTTCAGCTACATGTAGAATTACATTATGTCCTGGATGGCCTATTAAGTACTGGTTAATTATGTGTCTTACTATTGGGGCCAACCCCCACCCCGCAAATGAGGTCTGTGTGGTTTCCAGGTTGCACCTGTAGCATTATGATACAGGGCAGGTCAGGTCAATAATTATAGTTCAACCATGAATATGCACAGTAGTATAGATACATTGTACCTGCTCAAGTGTGGCCAAGTTATGTGTTAAAGCAAATTTTTGACAATCATACTTCTAGAATTTGATCGGACAACATATCTACACTGTAGGTAAAATAAAAGAAAAAGAATAAAAACCAGGAAAATTCCAATTTCAGGCTTTGGAAACTGCAGGATTTCATTTCTAACATACAGCAATGCACTGAAGCAGCTCAGCGGTATGTACATCATTTTATGTCAACCCTTTTGGTTCATACAGGTAGATACCGCTAGATGTGCTGTACACGTACATGTACATCAGCCATGGTGTGGCATGCATGTCAGTCCATATTTGTTTCTGCTATCACAAAAATTGTCTGTTTATAAACTGTGAATTCGTAATAAATTGTGCAGGAGTTTCCAGAATAAAAACCTTCTGCCAACCTTTGGTTAAATATACCGGTACAGTGTACATGTATGTTCATGTACACACAATACGTGCATACCATCTATCGTCGAGGCCCTGGTGTCGCATGAGCTTGACACCCAGACTAATTATGTTATGATATTTGATATCAGGCCAATTAACTCTTTGATTGGAAAAAAATCCACCAGGGGAGATTGGGAAGGAGGAAGGGGGGGTTACTGCTCATACCAACCGGTCGGTCTAGGTCCTGCCGGCCAGCCATCTGTGCTGGAATTTTTATGTGCTTCGTTTGAATGATGTATGAGCAAGAGTGTGTCTGTGCTGAGTGGGAGGACCATGTGATGGTGACAGTTACCTATGTTCTTGCAGGCCATGGACGGTTGGCTGATTGAGTTCAGGCAAGGGTTCTGAGGAGTTGTATGTGTGGTACGTAAGGTGCCACGTTGGGGCAGATAGGGTCTATCAACATAGCCTGTCAGCAATGAGAAGACAGCGAAGGACTTCACAGTTTGGTTTCGCAGACATGGGCCGAATTGAAAGGCTCCATCGGACTGCCGTGGCTCATCCAAAATTTATTGTGCTAATCAGCGTCAGAACTCGGAGGGAACATAAGTCCACCTGGCACACACATGTAACGGGGTCCTTCGCTCACTCTGCCCTGACACAATAGGTCAGATGTTTCTGCCACGTTGACCAAACTGGCTGCTTGTACACATGTAGGCAGTGGCGTAACGACTGGGAACACATGCTCCCCTTCAGCAGATGCCCGGGTGCCTCCCCCCCCAGAAATCTGTGAATAATCTCCATTGTAATGCAGCTGTAGCCTATATTCTTGTGGTGCCCGCATGAAAAATGTGTTGGCCCCCCCTTCCCCCGGAAATGTTCAGCCTCAGTTGCACCACTGCTTGTATGGAAGGATTGCTGAATTGCAATAAAGTCTAACATGCGCATTGTTGATGGTGCTGCATATACCGGTATACATGAATGTCAAGTTAGGGCATTTGTTGATGAGTCATTCTACAAAGTTGAGGTCCGACATTTTTCTGGCCCTGTTACACCTGACCTCTGTAGTCTAACATGTACATGTACGTCATTGAAATTGGCTTTATTCTGTCTTTATTTTTTGGTGGGTAATTTACATGTAGGTGTTGAAATTTAAGAGAGCGTTCTGTACATGTAGGAAAGGCTTTTGTTGCGCCTTGCGACACTGCTTGCATATTTTGAAATTTGGCAATTCTCAAGTGATTTGCCAGCATGTGCTTCAACACAACCATTACCGTCACACAACCAATGTACATGTACATGTACGGCGTTCATTTTAGAAGCCCAGACCGATGGCAGGTACAACTGTTGAATCGTACATGTAGATTAAGTGCAAAATGAACATGTTGAGTGTTTGACCTTGGGAATTACCATTTGTATGTACTGATATGCTGTAGTAGAAAGCAGGCATTTATGCCGTCAGCTTCAGTTGTCTCCATCATTAATTACTCAAGTGTTTTTCAAGTGGTTGGTTTGTTGTCGCAATCAATCTTAAATAAAGAAAATACCTGTAAACCCGGTCGATTTGAAACTCTGGAAATATTATCTGAGTAACTGAGACATTACAGCACAGTGACTTCATACATGTACAAAGTTCACCATTAGCAAACCCGCATTACACTTTACAAGGCTGACCAGTATATTACTGTAAATGGTTGAGCAAACGTCATCACAGATCCTGCTCATTACCATCAAATATTGATGACGGTCTGATTAGAAGGAAGAAGTAATTTGTTGACAATATCATAATAAGGAATAAAGTCAGTCGCTGGACTGCGACAGATGAAATCATTAAAGATTCAGGCATCATTTATACACAGAACTGTTCCCAGTTTCTGTGGAGGTAATCAACTTTGGCCTTGCAGTTGTTGAGCAGAAGTGGAAATTTGTCTAGAAAAAGTCCTCTGAATTTGTTGCACATTATATTCATCAAAATTTGATAGCATTTCAGGGATTTTGCATTATCATTAATTTGACTTTGGATAGTGCAGATAACCACAATTGTCTAAAATGATTTTGACAATACAGAATTTCTTCTTGTGAATACTAAATTGTTTAAAGTGATTGAATCCCCGTATAAATTTTCTGTTTAAAGCCAAGTGCTTGTGCAAATTGGCACCATGTGATGGGATAGGTACCATACATGGGATGCTGCCATCATTCAAAAAGGTCTTCAGGTTGCCGACTTGAATTAATCTAACTCACCTGATGTCCTGATCTTAATCGGAAGCCAAAAGTATCACATATAATTACTGATGTTTACCGATGAATTGATCCTTTATGGAACTTTAGGGATGCGCTGTATCGTGAATTGTGCCCATTGAGATTTGCTTGCCAAAATATAATGAATTTCATTTGCTGTGATACATAGGATACAAGTCATATTCAGCCTTTTCAAGAGCAGGAAAAGAAAGACTAGATACTGTTGACCAAATGCACAAATCTGAGGTATTTGTTTACTGATGTATGGTATCCGATACCTTTAATGCAAGATGACTTGCGGCCAAACCCAAGCCATGTTGTGTTCCTCATAATCACGGGAGTGCGGTACGGTAGACACAAAAAATCAATCGTCAGAGTCGTGCCCTCGTTGCGGCCTCACAGTTTGTTGCTTTGCATCGCGAGAGGCAGTTTGGACAAAGATTTGTTGTCTTTAATCTTTGGAAGTAGTACAGCCTCAACCGCCTGGGGGCTAACACCTATTTTGGGGGATGTGGAGAGGGGAGCCTCATTGATTCCATTTCATTTGCACTGAGATTCTTGTACCCCTACCGCAGGCCCAAGTGTCTGTCTTTTTAATTAAAAGTATCTAGTATTGCCCTCCTCAATACACAAGATCTTCTTGTAAAGATTCAACATGTTCTTGAGTAAACATGTTTTGTTCTCAGGAGTTCACTCATCTTGAACAAGCATGATATCTGAGAAGCGTTGGATTAAAGGAAAAGAATGAGGTGGCCGAAACTGGGGAAAACTTCAGGGTTGAATTCAGCAGCATAATC